TGTGTAATATTGCTTGTATGTTGTCAATTGTTATTTGAGCATTCATAAACTGCACTGCATATTCCATTTGTTGCAGTTTTTTAGCAGAAACTACAGTGCAGTTTATTGTTTCATAATTCGATTTCTTAAAAAATTTCGAAAGTCTATGGGAATGTTGCATCTGCTCATGAACTTAAATGTGTTTTGAACTTAGTTTTAGTACTTTGATCATGGCTTTTCCTTTAGTTTTCTTTTCACACTTGAGCATATTTGTGTTCATAAATTGCACTGCAGTTTCCGTTTTTTGCAGTTTTTGACTAGAAGTTTCTTGTTTCATAATTCAATTTCAGAATCATATTTGCAAGTCTATGGGAATGTTACACCCGCTCATAGACTTATATGTGTTTTGAACTTAGTTTTAGTACTTTGATCATGGATTTGCCTTTTGGTTTCCTTTCAAATTTGAGCAGATTTGTTTTCATAAACCGCACTGCAGTTTTCGTTTGTTGCTTATACTTGTGCTTTTGGTTTTGTTTTGCAGGGTTTTATCCTCTAGCTTTTGGATTTGTTGATTCTGAGACAGAGGAGAATTGGACTTGGTTTCCTCAACATTTTGCTGCTATATTGTTACTGATGGGGAAAATGGTGACTTTTTCTCAGACCGCAATCAAGGTTTGTTAAATGCTATGGGGGTGTGTTTCTTGGATGGCCTCATTCTTACTGCTACTATCACCTCAAACAGAATTTGATATCGAAGTACCCGAAGTCAGGTTATGGGAAATTGTTCCAAGACCATGTTATCAATCTATTTAGTAAATACGCATATGCTGTTACGGAGGAAGAGTTTAAAGTAGCAATGGATGAGTTGGTGATTGTTGAGAGTTTGAAAGTGAAGACATTTATATTTGATTTGTCTAGAGATCACTATGCCAATGCTTTTTTCAAAGGAATGCGTTACGGGGAGATGGCAAACAGTTTAGCTGGGTCGTTTAATAATTGGGTTGGTGTGTTTCAAGATTTGCCGGTGTTACCTTTAATAGAAAATTCTCAACGACAAATTGAAGCGGGGAAGTGGACAACAATTTTGTGTCCGTAGATGGAAACAAGACTATGGGAAAACACGGAGGCTGGTAGGACTTGGGCAGTTCGTCGTTCTAGTTGCATTGTTTTTGAAGTATTTGCTGGTTATTCTGTGACGGTTGATCTTGGGCAAAGGACATGTTCTTGCCGTCTTTGGCAAATTGATGGTTTTCCTTGTACGCATGTCGTGGTTGCAATTCTAGCAAAGAAAGATTCGGTTTATGATTACGTTAAGTGTTACTACAGTTCTGACTTCTTTCGAAAAGTCTATGAGAGTCCTATTTTTCCTATTCCATATATTGGGAAAGGTTTGGCAGTAACGGTTCAGTTGCTGGAGTTGTGCTTCCGCCAATTACAAAGAGGCCAGTCAAAAGACCACCAACGAAGAGGATCAAAGCTTTTGGTGAAGTTACAAGGCCATTGAAATGCAGTGTTGCTGGGCACAACCTAAAGACTTGCAAGGCGGTGATATGAACATTCCTTCTCAGTTGACGATTGCTTATGTTAGATATGGTTTAGTGAATGTATAGTCAGTTTTTGCATTGCAATTTTTAGTATCCGTTTGTTGTAGTTTCTTGTTTCATAATTCGATTTCAGAATAATTTTGCAAGTCCATGGG